TATTTAAATATTAATATAGAATGTAAGTAAATTGTCTTCAATTATATTATATATATGATTATATTCATTTGAAGGATGTTCATGATTTTTCACATTTCTACATATTTTGTCAAATTGGCATGAATCGATACAAACCGATTATACCATTGGTCGAACCATCCTACTTGCTAAAGCTTGACAACCTTATTCCTACCCGAAATTCAAACCCCCCCAATCCTCTCATTTGTCACAAGTTTCGTGGGTTTTGGTCATCTGTTTGGAGACTATAGAATGGAACTGGAATTGGAATAGGTACTGGTATTTTCCAACAAGATGATCCATCATCTCAATTAGATATTCGCGTATTTGGCAATTACAAATTTAGAGCCCGGAAAATTATACTGGACATATTGTTTGAACCAAAAGTACTATACTAGGCAATAAAAAATATTTCCAAACTAGGCCTTTAGCCTTCTTTATGCATCCTTCATTAGTACTTCTGGCCATTTATCAATAACAGACCATTTCCATACTCCATACGCTTTTTTCCGCTAATTAGTAAATACTCTACTTTTTTTTTACATTACTAAATCTATTTCAATTATAGGGAAGCCTTGCTATCTAGATTTATGTCTTTGGGGTAACTTTGGTATGGCTGGAGTTTTATTTACTTTTGGGAAGGGAATTGTATGACCTTATAATAGACAATTTTTATAGCATACTATAAAACTCATGTTCATTCATTATTATGACAGATTTAGTTGGTGAAGTTCACCATACACAACCAACCTCTCAACTTTATGCATGGTAAGTTCTTTCATAAATAAATCTTAGTATTCTGGCCAAGGGACAAAGTGATGGGAATGGTTGGATTATGTCTTCAACAATTACCTAGAAGCGAAATTGCAGGCAACACAACAAAATAAAAACAATCATTCCCATAATAATCTGAAATTACAGGAATATGAAATTCGTGAATGTTCAATTTGCTGGTTGTACGACTACCTTGAAGCACAGATGGGATCAGACTAGGAGCTAAAGGCAGAGGTTGGTATGGGCGTTGTTTTATGCGATTTACAACAAATGGGTTATGTAACCAAAAGGAAGTTCAAGTTTGTAGTTTTTATTTTTTTGCTATGGATTCTCAGATTGGTGAGCATGAAGAGATAGGATTAGAAGGAATCGCTAGAGAACCCGGGAAAGATAAAGTAGAACTATTGAGAATCCAAGATAATATTAGAAGCCAGAAGGAAGTCGATCGATTGTTGGTACGTGAATGACGAGTACACGCTTCTACCTTGGTCCCACTTCCCTGGTCATTCGATCTGGTGGCTCAAGTATTTTTTCTTCTTTTTTATGAATAGTGGTGGCTCAAGTATTGGCCCATTCTTCTATTACTTTTTCCGTTCATATCATATAACATTTTTTTCAATACACTAGGGATGTTATTGCTTATTATTATTTTTTGTAAAATTACAAATAAATTATTTTAATTCATCTTCATAATAAATATTGAGTGGCACTATCCACATGGAAAGTTTAATTTTGGCTTCTCCCATAAACACTTTCATACAACCATTTTAGATAAAACTTTTATATGTATTAATAAACATATGTTTTGGGCTAAAATTTTGTATAATCATCATTTTATTATAAAAGTTACCATAAGAAATTAACTATTTTCAATTGGGTTTATATTTCAACATTTATCAAATGATACGATTATCTATAAGTTACCCGCCCAACAGGGCAGGCCTGGTGCTAGTAATCATAAGTAAACTTTGAGAATTCTTTCTTCCTCTCCTCTCCTCTACCGATCTCTCTCCCAAAGAATCCCCCTCTTCTTCGGAGATGAAGCTCCGGCTTTTATAGTTGATTGCTCAAGAGTTTGTATGGTATGGAGTCCATAGTCAATCTCCAGACATCTCTCCTTTGTGTGTATGGAACAAAGGAAGTTTCTCCGGCCACAGTCATTCGAATGAATTCTTCGTGTCCTTACACCAGTTTACATTTATTGGTATCGTTAAAACCAATTAATTCTTCTCGATCCTAGTCAACTTTTTGACGGCGAGTGAGTTTCGTTGCAACATATGCATTGCAAGTTTGATGATTTCTTCTTCTCCAAGACGATGGTTAGTTGGCTTCGCTTTTCAAGCACAAGAGTTCGACGAGTTTGCTTCACATTCTACACCATCACATTGCGGGGGCGGGTTCTTCAAGATTGGCGTATTTTGGTCAAGATAGATGTTGTTCTTCGCACCATCATCTTGCGGGGGCGTGTTAGAGATAGAATAGGAATAATATTATATTTTCTTGTCCTTCTAGTATAGTTCTTAGTATTTCCTTGTCCTTCTAGTATTACAATTATTGTGGTTCTCTTACTTACTGTCTAAGTCTTGTAATCTATATAAACCCCTTTGTGGTTTCATAATAATATACACTACTATTCATAAAACTCCTGTAGGGGGTACAGACGGCGGCTCATAGAACAACCGGTGGAGCCGTTGGAGTTTGAGGACAAGAACGGTTTGGAGTTCGTTGAACCAAGGGGGAGCGACAATGTCTCCAAGACGCACCACCTATATAGGGGGTCACAGATATGGTGGAAATGGGGAGGTGGCGGAGATGCTTTGCCAAGTGAAACCACCAGTGACCGAGTTTAAGAGTCTTTCAGGAACAGAAGATGGAGGCATGTTGTTATCTCGATCAGCATGTGTGGTTTCATCACTAGGGAACCGGGGAGGATCAAAAGGCGCAACTGGCGGGCTTCTGTTTGGACGGTGGCGCCCAACAATGGTGGGAATAGATGGAGTGTGTCTATGCTCAAGCAGGACAAGTAATCACGTGGTCACGGTTCAAGGAGGAATTCAGAATTAGGTTTAATATATCTGATGGGTCGGCATCCAAACAACTGGTCAAGATAAAGCAAACATGCACGATAAGTGAGTTCTAGTTTGAATTTGAACATTTGGGTAATCTCTATTATGGAATTCCAGAGGATACGCAAGCAGAGATCTATTTGGCAGGCTTCAAGACTTAGATTGCTGGGGACATCAAAGTGTTTGAACCCCAATCACTTCGAGTAACCTATTACATAACAACAAGGAAGGAGGAGCAATTAGCGAGATAGAGAAACCACGTCAACCGTCCTCCGTTCAATACAACAGGAGGAGGCAATGCCAGAGGTGGGGCGACGGTGGGTGGAGGATCGGGCGCAGGAGGGGTGGTGGCGGTCGGAGCTTGTTCGACAGACAGAGGTGTAGGAGTTGTGGCGACAGGTGGACCAGTTGGATGAACCAGGCCGAGGCTTGCTCCAGGAGGGTTCATTCGACTGACATCGGCTGAACTTGACAAGGAGTGTCATGATGGCAAGTGCTACAACTGCGATGAAAGGTTTACTATAGACCATCGTTGCGCCAATGGCAATTTAATGTTGTTGGCCGGGACTTTCTAAAGCGAGGTAGATGAAGCGGATGCGGAGGTGTGCAAGGCGAATGGAGAGCATCAACCTTGAAGACAATGTTGCTCTGAAATATTTGAGATTGTTGTAGGATTAATTTAGCAATTACTATATTTTACCATTTTAGAATTATTGTGTATTATTTTTTAAATTCGGTGTGAGAGGGATTTGATTTTCTCAATAAGTTGGGATTTTGGTGAATAATTGTGAGGGATAAATCATGAACTTTATTATATTATTGTAGGAGATGATTGAGCTAGGGATTTTGATTAAGCATAATCATAATTAAACTTTGAGACTTCTTTCTTGCTCTCCTCTCCTCTGCCGATATCTCTCTCTCTCCCAAAGAATCCCCCTCTCTTCTTCTTCTCTTATCCACATCTAAACCCTTTTCTCCTTCCTAAACCTCGTAAACCTTTCTTTCTTCTACTAATAACCCTTAACGTACACCGCCAAGGTCGGTGCCTACAGGCTACAACACAAGTGAGTGAAAGAAAACTCACCTACCCCCCCGATTGCTCACCTCAACTCAAGAAATAAGGCTTCCGGCATGCGCCAATTTCATACTCACATACACACAGAAACATAAAATCATGAATCTAGAGTTGGAAAGATATTTGACAGAAAGCAGTTGAGAAAACAAGACAAAGGGTACACCGGCGTAAATGTAACATTTTCTGATAGATCATATGTAATATTGCTGGAGTGCTCAACCATAACAGACAGCAGTTCCATGCCGCCAAAAAAAAAAAAAAAAAGGAGACCTATATGTCCAATACATCTGCTAAACGAGATAAATAACTAAAAGATGGCAAACAGAAACACACTATTGATCTGCAACTCCAGACGACTTCGAGTTCGAACCCTCCTCTCTACTCATAGTACTACTTTCCTCGTACTGTATTGCTTGACGACCTATTTCTACAAAAACAACAAAGTTAAGTAAAGTCCCTAATTTCAAAACCTATACACCTGCTCAACTAAATACAAAACATTAACACATGTTATACCGCTAACCCATAATTAATTACCTTGAGACCCACGATTGTGGTAGCTTGCTGTAGCAATTGGCAATGACTGCTGTTGATGAACATAATTCGGCACACGACCGTAAGAATCTTGGTTGCTCTGCTGCCCCATCTGATCCATTACTAGCAACCTTTGCTGCTGATGATACCCGCCGCCGTAATTATTATTATCATAATAGTAACAATTATTATCATTGTTACGTACCCCGTTGGTTAAATTATTACTACTATAGAAACTATCTCGCCCTCTTCCTCCATTCTCCATCAGCAACGGCTGATGATGATGAACAGCAGTTGATGAAACATGATTCTGCACCGGAGGGAAGTTCGAGCTCATCACGCCACGTGGCCCAACAGCTCCATCATCGCCGCCGTAGTAGAAACCCTGACCATGCTCCGGCGCCCTGTACCAACCCGAGCAAAACCCGTCCACGTGGCCTCCGTACGCCGGAGTTTGATAATACTGCGACGACGCCGTAGCAGCAGGCGTTGGGCGTTTGGCGAGCAGCAATCGGTTCGCCAGGAGCTTGTTGTCACGCTCGAGCTTCCTGTAGAGGCCGAGCGGGCCGTTGACGGGGTCTTGGGCCCAGGCCGTGGCTTCCCATACGAGGGACGCGGCGGCGGCTTCGCGGTCGCGGTGGAGAGGGATTTGGGTGAGGAGGCTGGTCATGTTTTTGACGCCGAAGACGGCGTGGGCGGCCATGAATTCTTTGGTCTTGTCGGTGGGGAAGTAAGGGAAGAGAGCGCAGTCGTCGGCGCACCGGCGGCGTTGGTACTTGCACGCCGCGCATTTGTTGCGGTTGGCGGCAGGTTTTTCGGCGGAATCGCCAGCAGTACTATTGGATGTTGTCGTCACTGTTCGTTCTTCTGCCATCGCGGCTTGCAGGATTTAGGGCTAGAGGGGTTTTTTTGGCGGCCGAGGAGATTTAGCGGCGGGGGCAGGATTTTAGGCTAAACTTGCGAACCTGTTTTGGAATAGTGTTTTTATACTTTGTTTGTTTGTTTGTTTTGTTTTGTTTTTATTATGGTAATTTCTTTTGTTTATTTAATTGCTTTATCCGAGAATCTTGTTTCGAGTACATCTCTGGTGGGTGTAAGAGAAAGAGTTGGGTTGCACTTTGGTATTGTTATTGGACGTACGGGTACAGTTCAATCGCAATTGTAATTCCATGGTTTTACGAACTGATCATATTGAAAGTCATACAAAAACAAGTTTATATATGTTAGGGCATTTACTGGTAAGATCGTGGTTTAATAGTTTTGAGTCAAATTCAATTGATATTATGCAATTTTTTCGGTTCAACCTAGAAAATTCCGAATAACATTATACTGCACCATCTGTTTGTACCGCGTTTCTAATTAGGCCCGATTTTTTCATTTTTTCAGTTCAACCAGTCGGTCTGATATGGTATAGTAATCCATGGTGATGATTTCACTGTTGGTCAATTTGTAGTATTGTTTTTATTTATTCTTTAAATTACCGAAATTTAGAAGAAAAAATTATAATTAAGTCTAAGTAGTTCAAAGATAGGGTAATAAAATTTCTTTGGGACGAAAAAAATAATTTTAGAAAGGTCAAAAGAGGAGAAATACATGTAAATATTGATGCAAATCAGCATAGAACGGATCAAAAATGAGGCGAGACAAGACAGAAAGGTCGAAAGCTATATCCAATTATCCATGTCCCACCCCATGCTACTAATACGGATTGGGTCACATGCGTCAGGTTTAAAAATTTCCATTACTAGGTGGTAGCTAGGATTTCTACCCATTTATATAATCTATGAAAATAAAATAGAAATAGAAATCTACCCACTCATATAAGTAGATTCCGCCTGAGAAGTGGGTTAAAACATAAAATGCTGTCCTGAGTGCATCTCACGAAAGGCTGTAAACGTCTTTGAACTTTTATACTTCTATAATCTCTTTCATTTATTCCACTGAGGACGCCTACTGGGCTCTTTTTTGTTTATTTGCATAATCCTCTTTCTATTTTTACTTTAAATTTATACCATTTTACTTTTATGTATTTATTATTTATTGGTGATAAGAAGAAAAATACTATGCTAATTTAAAAGAATTTATTAATGATATAGTCACTCTAAACTCTAAGTCAAACTTATATGGAGCATATTAAGTATATATATATATTCCGTTGGTTAACAAAAAAAGACAACATTTCAGTTATACATGTCAACCTTCACATCACATTTATCGATTTGAACAATCACAAGTCGACTATTTGATACTTTGATAGTCCTTTATCTGTCATATATAAAGTATATAGCTACAAATTGCTATTTGTGTAATGTTTTTTTTTAAACAGTCGACTTAAAGAGAAATGTGGTCGATAGTTATAAGCGACACAAACCATATCACATATTATAACTATGTTGATCGATCAAAAGTTTCCATCAGATTCCGAATAAATTTTACTTGAAGTTTGACCAAATCGGCATAACCCCAACCAAAAATATAAAAATTTGTTTTTTTTTTATCTCATACACAAAGCAACCGTTATTCCCACCCCATTCAAATTAAATTTAAATTTTAAATGATTAATTAGAGAACCATTCCTCTATGCATGTAATATATAGTAAGAATATATACTAAATTCGTGCTTTCGATATATGTAGAACAAGAAGAGTATTTAAAGATATAATATCTACTCGAGTAAAATTATACTTCATATTTGCAAAAAGTTCCGCATTAAATATTGCTTTCAATGAAATTTAGGAGAAGAAGGAAGGAAATGTTCAAATGCAAGAGAATAAAGAAGATATTGCTAATAGTGGAAATAGATGAGTCATGAAGGGAGTAGAATGCGTTGTTATTGATGGCGATGATAATGCTAATGACGAAGCAATTGCAAAGTCCAATATAAAATTTGCATCCATTTCTAATCGATATGTTATTTCATCTGATGACACTAGAAGTGGGTTCCCTTGATGATATTTTTTTTAACTTTCGGTAATTGCATTAGTTGAATTGGTTAGCTCACAAAAATTCATGATACATGCTCATTTTTAGTTTTCTAATAATAAAATATTTGGACTCTTTTATATAGTAAATAAAAAACTAATTTTTCTTTGAATAAATTCTATAACTTTTATATCATTGATAAATTAACCGGCCAAAGGGCCGGGTTTTAATCTAGTATCATGAGTAAATGCATACCATGAGATATTGAGATGGAAAGGAGAACCAAATTAACGACTACGAGAAGGATTAGGATGGTACTGGGAAATAGCAAAGGTAACTATTAGGATAGTGAGTTAGGAATCACAATTTTGTCCAAATTCATAAGTATCTCTTTATCCAATTCAATTGGGTTGAGTATGAAACTCATAATAGAAAATAAATGGCTAGAGTTTGATGGGTTTATACGCATCTCCGCTTATTTGGGTTGGATTTTTAATTTATGAATCTGGGTTTGTACCCATATACATATGAAAATTATGATTTGGTAGCTAAACTTAAAAGATGGTGGATTTAGTATCTAAATTTAAACATTTTATGGAAAACACAACTTTGGTACATAAAATTTTTTCGAACTACATTTTGATACCTCAACTTAATAATTTTTACAAATAGGTTCAATTTTGTATGTGTAGTTAAAACAAACTCAAGTAAATGGGTATTCATACTCAACTCATGTGCACTTAGAGTATGAAAGCTATATCCATACTCTACTCCAATCCATCTACAACACTCCAAACCTATATAGACTTCACCCTATATAGAAACTATAATAAACTGGCGTCGCGCCCCATCTCCCTTTGCGCGTCATTTGCGGCCAGCTCCACCACCAACAACTAGCTTCAAATCGGGGCGCGGATCCAAGCAGGCGGACATGACTCCACTCGCGGCCCATGTCCACCATTCCGATCCGCCTTTCGAGGCCCAACCCGTCCCTCAGCCCGCTTCGTACAAGTGCTGCAGCCCCACCAAGCCCAATAAGCACTTAGCTCATAAAAAATAATAACACCATTGCCGCTAGCACTTGAACCCGCACCGCTCCGCAACAAGACAAGCATTCTGGCCAGCAGACTACATACCCACACTGTGGTCCTTAGGCACGCCGCTCTTTATTTAGTGACCCTTCTTGCTTCTTCGCCAATATAAAGCTAAGTACTTTATCCATCTATCATTATTAAATATTGAAATATTTTACTTTCATGAGCGTTAATGGCGCTAATGGGGGGCAAGACGTACCCAACAACGTGGGAGATGAGAAACTCAATCAAGCGACATATGATCACGGCTCGTGCCTCGATCAGGAACGCCATGAAGAATCTATAATGGCTGAGGGCTAATAATCACGGCTCGTGCCTCGACTAGTCAATGTCATGCCCTGACCAAGTGACATATTATCACGGCCCGTGCCTCGATCAGAAACGCCATGAAGAATCTACAATGGGTGAGGGCTAATAATCACGGCCCGTGCCTCGACTAGTCAATGTCATGCCCTCGCCAACCGACATATGATCACGACCCGTGCCTTGATCAGAAACGCCATGAAGAATCTACAATGGGTGAGGGCTAATAATCACAACATGTGCCTCGACTAGTCAATATCATGCCCTCACCAAGCGCTCGACACCTTGAAGACTCCAAACTGAAGGTACATAAACCCCGACTAGGAGAGCGCACAACGCCTTGGTGAATCTACAAATATGGGAGCGCTCGACTACCACCATTCATGTAAGACTCGACTGAAGCACGCAAATAAGACTTTGATAATAGCATTGGTGAATCTACAAATATGGGAGCGCTCGATTACCTCCATTCATGCAAGACTCTACTGAAGCACACAAATTAGACTTCGATAACAACATTGGTGAATCTACAAATATGGGAGCGCTCGACTACCTCCATTCATGTAAGACTAGACTGAAGCACACAAATAAGACTTCGATAAGAGCATTGGTGAATCTACAATATGGGAGCGCTCGAATACCTCCATTCATGTAAGACTCTACTGAAAGCACACAAATAAGACTTCGATAAGAGCATTGGTGAATCTACAATATGGGAGCGCTCGACTACCTCCATTCATGTAAGACACGACTGAAAGCACACAAATCAGACTTCGATAAGAGCATTGGTAAATCTACAATATGAGAGTGTTCAACTACCTCTATCTCCAATAAAGGCCACTAAACGTACGTGGTTACCCCGTAATGTAATCGCGCGGCTATCACAAGCGTACCAATGAAAGAGGGCACACTTGTGTTCGTGTGAAGAATTCCAATAGAAGAGTGCTCAACGGCTTAATGAAATACACCAACTGGGGGGCATGTCAAAGGAAGATGGCACCGCGTCAGCCAAATGCGCCACCAGATGGGGGGAAATTGGGGTACATAGGGCTCCATCCAAAATTATCGATGAAGATTTAAAAATAAAACAATAATAAATAATAAGCTAGCGATGAGTTAAAACTCACCACCAGCTTGGGGGGCAATTGTTGGGGTGTTACTAAGATACTCCGCACACAGACTAAGTAATAGCGCGTCCAATCGATAAGGTATGACGCTCGAAACCTGCTACTAGTATATAAAAGGTATGAAACCCTCCAGGGGGGACTCTTCTTCTCTTCCCTCACTTTTCACTTTGGCTCTCTCTACACTTTATCTCTCTACATTACTCTCTGAACTCACTCTAAACTATATACTGACTTGATCGTCGGAGTTTAATCCGGGGGCATCCCCCACTTTCCACAGGTTCTTTTCCTCCCGACGAGATCAGACGACCGGATCATGAGTCAAGCCCACACCAACAAATGATTATT